CCCCGACTTGTGCGCCTTCACGTGCTTCACGCCCATGATGTGCCTCTATCCAGGCATGCCATGCGCGAAAGCAAACACACCACCGTACCGCTGGTTTACTTGCCCTCGCCGCTCAGCTGTCTGGTAGAACGCGCGGATGGCACCCACGAGGTCCGCGCGCAGTACTGATGGCCGATCTACCACCTGCCCCGTGAAAGCGAGGGCCCTCTACTCCGCCATCGCCGAGGTCTGAGGTAGACTCGCAGGGATTGGAGCCTACATGATCCGCAAGGGGACGTTGCCAGTTTGATCCAGTAGTGCTGTAGCCCATCCCGCCTGCTGGAGCTCGAGCAAGAGGGGCTTGGAGCAGGAGCCGCCGATCGCAAACTCAGTGCTGACGATGGCCTCGTCCACCACTGCATACACAATATTATCAGGTCCTTCGTCGACGTCCTCACCACCGCTATCTAAAACACACGCCTGGATTCTTGGGTCCATCTTGGGGATGTCCTTACCACTGAAGGTGAACACTCCACGAAACTCCACATCATCATCACTTGCATCACGTATCGCTTGTAGTACCTCGGCATCGACTTTAACTTCAGCACGAGCTGCCACAACCTCAGTCAGCATGCGCTACGTCAGTCTGTGCGCAATCGTGTCATCCATGCCGCACCTACACTTGCCAGAGGAGAAGGAGGAGGGGGAGGAAGAGGAGGAGGAGGAGGAGGAGGAGGAGGAAGAAAGGGAGGAGCGACCGTACCAAGAAAGAAGGAAGAAAGGGAGGAGGAGGAGGAGGAGGAGGAGGAGGAGGAGGAGGGAGGAAGGGAGAAAGCCCATCCCCCCCCCCGGCGTTGCCCCTGAAGGGGGGCGCCCCGGGCGGCCACATTCGCGCGAAGCTCCCGGCGCGGCCCGCCCGCCCCCCGCGGAGGCTCCGCGGCGGCCATCCCCGCACGCTCCCCGTCGCCCACCGCCACGCGGAGCGCCTCCGCGTCCTGCGCGGCGGGGGCGGCGCGCCGAGGGGGGGGGGGGGCGCTCCGCGGCGCTTCCGCCGCTCGGCACGGTCGAGATGGGTACGGCAGGTTCGTGCGGCATCGGCGCGCGCAAAGGTTCTTGACACGGAGCATCGCTTAACCGATCCCTATCCCCACGGGCGTGGCCTGAGCCCCATTGGCCGATTCACCCCCTAGATGGGGATATAGGCGGCTCCCTTCGGGCTTCGAGGGGCGTGTCCCTAACCGAAGTGGTGGGATGGTGGGGGTCGGGATGGGGATGGGGATGGGGATGGGGATGGGTTAAACGATAATGAGACACCGCGTCGATCGTTCCACCTTGCATCAATCGCGGCCCCGATCGTTCAAGGTTCAATTCAGTCAGGCCCAGTGTCATTACCGTGTCCCTCGGTGCTTCCGTGCCGCAGAATTCGACCTGGAACGCCTTCGCCAGCGTCGCCAGCGCGCCATCGCCGCATGAACCTACCGTGCGAAAAGAGCCCTGATATCGTGGCGTCTCATTTTTTTGAGACGGGCGATGTCGCCCCCAGTTACGGGCCGCAGGACCCTCACCATCGATCCGTCTCGACAAATGGCGCAGAAAGATGGGTCTGGGGTTTCAGCCGTGATGTTTCGCGTTGTTTCGTTTTTTTCGAGACGTCGGATCTCAGGGTCCGCCACGCCACCGCCGCTCGGCACAGTCGAGATGGGTACGGAAAGATACCAGACAATCCCAGCAGTCGAAGGCAACTGAGGCCAGGACTCCATCGGCAAGAGCCTGAGGGCAATTGATGCGCGTTGCGGCGATCGAAAGAAACTGCAGCTGGGAGCCAATGGGTAACCACCAGACAATCTAAAGAACCGATGGCACCTGAGGCCAGGAATCCCCTTGTGTGCGGGAAGCGTTCGGCAACAGCTGGAGAACCAAACAATCACGATCGACCACGGCCGGGAGCCGACGGGCAGGTCACTGCCTGACCACTACCAGATAATCCCAACGATCGAGTTCCACCAAGGAAGGGACCCTATGGGTACGATCTTTCCGGTGGTGATGCGATGACAGGAGAACAGGGGGTACCTGAGAGGAGGAAAGGAAGGGCACGGATAACCAGGGGTGGGGGGGAGGAGGAATGCAAGGGGGAAGTCGGAAAGATTCTTGGAAGTGGAGGGGACGGGAAGGGGGAGAAGAACGAGATAAGAACAGAGCGAGGGAAAGGAAAGAGCAGTTCTCCTTCACGCTCGCGGTACGCACGCTCGCAGTACGCGACAGGAAAGGAACCACTGCACTACCAGCTGGCAGGTATCACGATGAGCCAACTCACGCGATCAAATCAAACTGAGCGATGCCACCGAGTTCCCCCCCCCCCCCCCCGCGAACAAATGGCTGGACGGGAAGTGGCCAGGAGGAGTCGTTTGGGGCCGACCACTTGCATGGCGCGCCCTGTTGCGCTTCACCAGGACGGTGAACAGACTCTTCATACGTCGCCGGCGTTGCACATTTGGCGGTGCTCTTCCAGTGACCACGGCATGTATGCTGAAAGCCACAAACCACTAGTGATATGTATATAGAGATCGATTGTGGGATCGAAAGTGGAATCGATAGCGAGGACGATTGTAAGGTCGATCGTGAGACCGATAGCGAAGTCGATTCGATGAGATCGATAGTGAGATCGATCGTGCGATCGCTCGTGCGATCTGTAGTGAGATCGATTATGAGATCGAGGTCGACAGAGAGATCGATAGAAGAGGTGGGTCATGAGATCGATGGTGAGACGGGTCGATCAAAAAAACAACCAAGAACCTGGGACCCGGGGAACCCTAGCTGCCACCCACCGAAAACGGCCCGGAACCCGGAACCGGAAATCCGGGAACTGGGAACTCGGGAACCCGGAACCGGGAACCCGGGAACCCAGCCTGCCACCAAAATCGGCGGGGAACTTTCGCCAAATCCTTCCACTTCCGCCAGGGCCCCTCCAGTGCAAGCACTGGTGGGGGGAAAGCACGCGTGGCTGGAGATTCACGTGTGGAGCCTCTGTGGGCCGCGCGCTCGGCACGCGTGCGGGATGCCGGCATGCCCGGCCCCGGAAGGGCGGAGCGCTGGAAAGACTTGCGGCAACGAGTGCATCCAGATCTCGTCCACGCCGGCCGCATCATGTGCATCCAACTTCCTGCTGTTTTGCAGATGTCCCCCCCCCCACCTTCGTTTCGAGGAGTATGTGAGGACGCCCCTTTGCGAGTTTGAACGGCGGCGATCGTGGAACCACGCCAGTTGCCCCCGCAGCATCGCCCAGGAGCGGAATCGGAAAGAAGCGAGCCTCGACGGGGCATCTCGACTCAGCATGAAGGAAGCGGCTCCTCGGTGTTGCGAGATCCTGGGACTTTGTCGCCGCGTTCGCGCTGCCAGGGCCTTCAACGGGCCCCGAGGCCGTCAAACAACTACCTGGGAAGAAGAGCTGCAGGCGCCTGGGGTCTAGGACCCGTGTCTCCTAGGACCAGTTCCTCTTCATGGCGATTGGCGTCCCTGTGCTTCAGAACAGTGGGTGCGCTTGAGCACCACCGGGCGCAAGGACCGCCAGTGTAAGCAGGAGAGCGGGCGGGGAGGTGGGTGGCCAGAGGAGCCTCCGAAGGAGAGGGTGGACGCAGCGTCCACGGAACAGTGAGCGAATGTGACGCTCAGAAAGAGAATGATGTAAAAGGCGGCCATAGGACGAGTGCGCCACGGAGGCGTTGTCCACAGCACGTGCGTCGGACCAGGAAATAAGCAAGTAATTGACCTGGGCTTGAAGATTGCCAGGCCAGAAAAAAACCTTACGACGTACAAAGCGCCTTGCGATGGCCAACACGCTTCAGCTAACATCAGGGCAAGGTAATCCCGCCAACCGGTAAAATGCCTGAAGTCGGGTCTGGCCATCTCTGAGCGTTCCCCGATCGTTGCGATGTTCTGAAAAAAGAGCCAATGCTTTGGATGGGCTTGGAGTATTACCAGGCACAAGAAAGTACTGCAGAAGGTCAGCTCTTTGCGATGGCTGGGTTGCTTGAGCAAAGAGTGAGGCAAGGCAATCCCGCCAACTGGTAAAATGCCTGACCTCAAGTCTGGCAAACCCTGGGCTTCCCTCGACCCTCGCGCACAGCCTGCACCGCGGCACGAGATGTGACTGCCTGGCGAACCTCTGCGGCCGTGAGCCTGGACAGCTTAGCGAAGAACGGACATAGCATTAGGTCGGGCATGTCCTCCTACAGGCGGATTTGGACGAAAAATAAAACAGGGTCAACACATATCCAAACCATATCCAAAAGTACCCTCAAAATCGTCCCCAGGGAATTCGTACTATTTCTGGATATTCCTCCTGTAGGGGGACACGCCCGACTTAAACATAGCATTTCGAACAACCTATATTGGAGCACCGGTTGGGTCGCGAGGTCCCGCCCGGCCCCTGCGAGCCCATCCAGAAAGCGTGCCCCACAGGGGCAGCACCAGCGGGGAGGACATCGAGGACGAGCACGAGCAGCGGCAGCGGAAGACGGGGAAGTATCAATGGGGGCAGAAGCGGAGGGAGAGGAGGAAGGAGGGATACAGCAGACGCAGTAGACGCAAACGATACGAAACCTTGCAGTGAGAACTTGTGGGGCACTCTATCCGCCAATATTTGATAGTCCTCAGGTGCCACGGAGCCTGTGTGGGCCCCTGGGGGCAATCGGGGAATGCGAAATGTCCGCGCGGCACCTGCCAGCAGGCCGATGTCTCATTGGATGTGCCAACTAGAACGTGGGGCGTGGCGCCCCCAACTTCCGAACTTGTGGGGCTCTCGCATTGGGGGCCAAACGCGGGGGTACACGATGGGGGGGGGTCCACCTGAGTGGTTGTGCGTCCGAATAACCCCCCCACCGGGGATGTATCCCCGAGCGTCGCTTCTGTTCTAAACGGCAAGCTTTGTCGGAGGGGCTCCGGGATCGGGGGCGAGAAGTCATGTGCGAAGGGAGGCGGCGGACGACGAGGCGTGGGCAGGGGGGTGCCGGAGGACGGGCTGCTCACTTGTCGCCGCTGTGGTGGCGACAGTCGCTGCTGCAGAGCATCTGGCAGAAGCAGGCGTGGGCGCGGCTGTCGAAACCGGCTCGCTGCTTCGCCAGACGCCCGCGCCGGTCCTCGCGCCGCTCCCGCCACCTCCGGGGCGGGCGGCATGACCGACCCGCTTCGTGGCGAGTCCCCTCCGCGACGGCCCCCTCGGCCCCTCGAGGCTCTCCTGCGGCCGCCTGCCGGCGCCTCGAGGCCGGGCGAGGAGGTCGGCACGGAAGGGGCCGGTCTCTGGCGGATAAGGAACCGCACAAGGCAGACGTGTGTGTCCTCGGGGACGCCTGTCCCAGGACGGACGGAAAGATTGTGCTCCCGAAGGGGCACGTCGCGGGCAGAAAGGCCGAAAGTTTCCAGCCGCCAGGGGGCAAGCGTCCCCGCTGGCGGAAACACGTGTCCCATACGGTTACTCGTCCGCGAAGGTCTGCTTTAGGGGCCGGTCAAGACGCTCCCGCCGCCTTTCCAGGGCGGCAGCCTTGTCCCCGTCTGCCAAGCTGTCCCAAGCCGCGTCTGGCTCGTCTTCTCCAGGCTCTGGCTGCTCGTCAACTCCGCCGTCTAGCTGAACCTTGACGGGGAAAAGATAGAGGCCTCCAAACTGGGATCGTATGGGGTTGGAGGATCGCACCTCGCATCGCCACGTTGGGTTCCTGGATTTTGTGGCCTCCAGGGGGCTTCTCGCTGCCACGGCTGGATTCGCCTCGAGATCCTAGTCCGAGCGCGCCCCCGGAGAGGTCTGAGGGTCCTGCAAGGCTGAATTTTGGCTCCCGCTTTCGGCCTCTGCAGGGGGCCATCGCCGGGCCCTGGGACCGCCGAAACACGGCTTGGCACCAATAGCTGGCTCTGGGGAGAAGGGTCGGGACGTCAGGGAACCCAGTGTTGGGTAAAAACGCATCGGATGCCCAGGTTGACCAGAGCTCACGACCACCACCACCACCACGTGGGGCCACTGGGTAGGGCAGGGCCTGCCGTTCCGCGGGAAGCAGACGTAGCAGACCAGCCGCGTTTGAGCCCCGCCCCTGCCATCCCAAGTCCTGGAGAGTCCCAGCTGGCACTGGCGTGGGCTGGGGAATTGCGAGCGAGCGCGACCGAAGCAAACCCCAGCCAGGGAGCCCCTGCCGGACCAAAAAATGCAAAGGCGGCGCACAGGGCTCGGTCTGCGTCACTGATGCTCAGAGTTGCTGGACAAAGGTGCCCCAAGCGTGTGCAACACCACCGCCCGAGACCACACTTGGGCCCCCCCTCCTCCGAACAGTGGTGGTGGCGGCCCTCCCTCCATCGACTTTAGGGGCATACGGCATCCAGAAGCTGACCCCCCGAGCGAGCTTTGACAACCAAGCCAAATTCATACGCCCCGCCGGCTGGATTGGTGACCGAACCGGGTCGCCCCAAGAAAAAGAGGCCCTCCTACCGAAGAGCCGATGTATTGGCCACTCGCCGTCGGCGCCAGCCCAACAGGAGCCCAGTGGAAATAGGACCTGACCCAGGCTGATCTTTGCGCGGTAAGCGTAGTCAGCGAGTGATGAGCGTTCTCGGGAGGGGCGTGTGCAGAGGGGCCGCAGGCAGCCAGTGCCGCTTGGCCTTTATGGACCTCTATGCTTGGTGATCGAAGGTTTGTGCCCTACGGATGGCGTGCTCTGGTTGCTGACATATGGCTGGTGCACAATGGTGCCTCGTGGGTGATGTCCTATGGCCCGGTGGTGCCTTCTGAATGGTGCCTTCTTCTGGTGGGTGCACGATGGTTAATGCGCCCTTGTTGGTGCCCTGTTGTTGGCGCCCTTCGGGCTGGTGCCCGACGGCTGTTGCCCCTGGCTGGTGCCCCATGGTGTCCCATTTGAATGCCTCATGGATGGTGCCCCATGGTCCCCCATGGTTGGTGCCCTGTGGTTCGTGCCATGTGGCCGATCCTGGAAACCCTGAGCCCAAAAACCTTGTCATCTTTTGGGAGGTCGACTTTTGCTTCTGCCGAGTTTCCGACGGCTTCCGCCGGCGGAGCCGCCCTCGTTTTACTTTCGCCACCTTCCGCCGACCTTCCGCCGCCTTCCGCCGTGGAAGAGATGATCACTCCTTCGATCCTCGAAGGCGAGGCCCTTTTTGGAACGCTCCATATGGTTGGTGTCCTACTGTTGGTGCCCTCTGGTTCATGCCCTGTGATGGCCTATATGGCTGGTGCCCTATCCCATGCACCGCATAGCTTCGACACCGGGGGCCACAGCAACTACAGCCTGGGGTCCACCCGCTGTCGTCCTTGCTCTGTGTTGGCTGCATTCGCTCGTGGTTTGGGGCCTACACACTCGAAGCGTACTTTGATCGGACACATCGTCTGCCCGGACTTCCAGCGAAAACACGGACACATGCCGCTTCTGGGCCACCGGCGACGTTGCACCTTGCACGCCCGCGCTGGGGTCGCCGCCCCGTCGACACGGCGCGAACCGTCCATAGACGCATGGTTTCGCTCTTCGC